AACAAATCAGACTCCTCCTTATTAATATAAGAAGTTTAAATAAAAATTTTGAAAAATTTCGACATTTTTTAGAAGAAACTGATATTATCTTTGATATTATTTATTTAACAGAAACTTGGTGTTTGTCGAATGATATAAAAAATAATTATAACTTTTATCTTTTTGATTTTGAATAATAAGAGATTTAAATATGAATTGTTTACTATACAATTATAACAATAAAGTAAAAAAATTTTATGATGAAATATTTACAATGGAAGCAATTCCGCTGATAAATTGTCCAACTAGGGTTACACGAAACTCATCAACTGTTATTGATACTATTGTTACAACAGACATTTTCACCTACAGCATTCAAACAGGTATTGTAAAAACTGATTTATCAGTCCATTTTGCTATTTTCTTAACATTTAATGCCGGAACAACGCGTACTTTAACAACAGATAAAATTACTAGAAAGCATTATTTTACCAAAAAAATATCGAATCGTAAAAGTCTAAATTATCTCTACTACATTGGGAGCATATTGACTTTAAGGATAACGCAAACAACATTTATAATAAATTCTTTGAAACATTCTACTCAGTGTATGAAGCAAACTTTCTAGTTGAAATGAGAATAAATAGTAAAACAAAACAAAAATTATCTATAAAATATCTAAAAACAAAATCTCCTGCTGATGAAAAACATATAAGAATTATAAAAATTGTTTTGAGAAGACTCGAAAAAATTTGAAATAAATCTATTATTCAAATCTTATCAAAAAAGTTTAAAACAACTCAAAGCGCACATGGAATATAATATAAGAATTAACTGTAAAATCAAATAAATGTTTAAACTCCCTGTCAAACACTAACTTTGAAATCAAAATTATTTCCAAACCTAGTGAAATGGCAAAAAAATTTAATAAATTCTTCACAGAAATCGGAAAAAAACTTTCACACAGAATTTCAACTACTGATAACTCATTTATAGACGTTTTATCCACTAGACACGATCTAAATATTAACAATGAATTATTGATTGAACTAACTCCCGAGGAGTTTAACATAGCTTTTAAACCTTTTAAAAGAAATAAAGGTACTGGCTTTCACGAAATAAGTAGTAACATCATTACAGATTGCTACGAAAACCAAAGAGATATACTTTTCAAAATTTTTAAAGCATTTTTAAAACAAGTGATTTTGATAAAAAAGTAATACACATTAGTTGTATTTATTGATCTATCAAAAGCATTTTATATCGTCGATCATGAAATTTTACTGCCAAAGCTCAAATATTATGGAATAAATGACAATCTTTTATATTGGTATAAAGTTATATAACAAATGTCAATAACAGACGCCAAAAGAAAATGACTCAAATAACTTGCGGTGTTCTTCAAAGCTCGATTCTTGGGCCTCTTCTTTTTTTTATTTATGTAAATGATATAAATAAAGTATCTAACTTAAAAAACATCATGTTTGCTGATGATACAAATTAATTTGTATCAAACCGTAGCATTACGAAACTGTTTTACAAAATGAATAAAGAACTTAAAATTATCTCTAACTGGGTTAAATGTAATAAGTAAACTTTAAATATAGAGAAAACAAAGTATATTCTGTTTCACCCATTATCGAAAAAACGTTTTTTGCCAAACCTTAAACCAAAACTATTTATTGATAAAATTGAAATAAAAAGAGAAACCGCCACAAAGTATTTAGGAATAATTCTTGATGAAAATGTTACATGGAAAACTCATATTGACTACATTAGCAATAAAGTTGCTAAAAGTATTGGCATCCTATTTAAGATCAGATTTTTTTTAGATAAAAAGAGTGTAATGCAACTCTCCTACTCTTTTATACATAGTTATATTAATTATGCCAATATTGCTTGGCGAAGCACAAGCAAAAGTAAGTTGCAACTTCTTTATCGTCGTCAGAAACACGCTATGCGATTAATATACTTTATCGTCGTCAGAAACACGCTGTGCGATTAATATACTTTAAAAATCGTTTAACGCATTCAAATTTTTTATATAAAGATGCGAATGTCCTTAATCAACTCAACATTTATAAAATTTTGTGTTTTTATTTTAATGTAAAGTGTCATTATAAATTTTTTTATCAAAAAAATAAACAATTATATTTTTCGAAATGATAGTTTTTTAAATGAACCGCTTTGTCGTACAAAGTTTAATCAGTTTCGTATTGAAAATCGTAATCGTGCACCTTATCTCTGGAGCAAAACTGTTTTGAATAATTTTGATTTATCAACTTCATTTCAACTTTTTCAAAATAAAGTTAAAAAATTTAGTTTTTCTATAAACGATATATAATGAATTACTTCTAATATGGAATAACGCACTGTATAATATTTAATTTTTTATTAATTTTTGCTGTTGTTGCTTTTACGCTTTTAAAAGGTTCTGACGACAAGATCAATGAGATCTTTTATCAGAAACATTGTTTATCTTTGTAAAGCTTTTATTTAGAAAGTTATTTATATAATTGTATAAGATATATAAAAAAAAAAAAAAAAAAATTGACGTAAGTATAAACATACAAATGTTTCGAGTTTGCGCCATGTCTGTTAGTTATCTCAAACACCAAAAAATGCTGGAACTTTCACTGATCTGTGGTCTAGGCTTTTTTTAGAAATGTAGGAAGCGTAAACTTCCAAGTTAAATGCTCTTTTAAGGTTCTCTGTGCGACCATTAAGTCTTCTTGGAGCACCTAAAATAACCAAGAAAAAATGTGTATATATATTTTTCACATAGAAACGTTTTGTTCTAGTTTAGTTTACAACAAAAGATCGAAAGCCCTTAACCCAGTTTTCCTAAGAAACCATTTTGGATTTGGATTTTTTTTGATCTAAGGCTCCAGTAACAGTATTTTGAAAAAAAAAATATCATTTGATAAGAAAATGAGGCAAAAATTATAAAGTTTGTTGTATGACTATAAAAAAGCCAAAAGATCAACAAAAAATCACTTTACAGAGGCCAAAGTGCTAATTTATCTACCGTAAACAGTGTAAGATAGGCACAACATATTTCTTAAATTAATAACACAGTGTTCTATTTTAGTACAGGAATATATAAAGAAATCATCTTTTAACAAATTAACTGGTTTTGACATCAGAGTCTATTCGCGCCAACGCTTGGAAATTGCCCTAAATTTAGTCAAAAATCATTAAAAGTATAACTTCAAACTATTGGCGCAAATACTTCTATCAAAAAAAAATTAAAAATAATTTTTTTTTAATATAAATATGACCTCTACGCCACTCATTAGCCACTCCGCATAAAGATTGGTTGTCGGAAAAAAAAAGAGAGTAGCTATTAAACAGCTCTATTTTTTGCGTAATCACAACTCCTCGACCACGTTTTTTATTACGTCTTTCTAATGAAATGATTTTAAAACCAGGGATACGGAAATAAGAGTTATTTAAAAGCTAGAGTTATTTGAAGAACACTTAGTTTCTCTTTAGCAAATAGTATTAAAAATGTTTTTAGTTTCCTTCAAAAAAAGTCAAAGTTTTTTAAAACAAAAATTTTAACTTCTAATAACAATGTGAAGAAGTTTGATTTTTTTACAATCATGTTTATTTTTTTTTGTAAAAAGAAATTCTTCAATTTTGCTCGGATAATACATAAAAATTTATATATACAGATCGGTGTTTTCATTAGATATAATGTATTTATTATAAAAATTAAAAGAAAGTAATTCAAACTCATTCATTATTTCGTCAATTTTTTGAGCAACACTTTCTAAATGGTTTTCTTTTTTTCTTCCTATAAAGATTGTGTGATATTATAAACAACTCGAGCATACCTACCTCCTACTCGTAGTTTTATGGCTTTTGCAAACAGAAGCCATTTTTTTTTTGATGGTTCTTACACTCAAGTCTTTGTTTATATATACTTTTTTTTCCCATAGTTTTTCCATTACATTTTTTCTCTATTATTTAAGAACTTTGCAACAATTTTTCTCTTATTTATTCCATTTTTTTTTTCCTGTTCTATGGGCCCTTACAATGCAAAATTTGTTTATTATGCCAAGTTAGTTTTCTTAAATAAATAATTTTATTTTCGTTTTGCTTTCTTCCCAGTCTTAACTTGACAAAAGTTTCCATCCCCAATGCTTTAGATTTCTTCCTGACTTAATGTTTTCACCTTTTTTTATTCAATTTATAATTTTAAACATCCAGTAAACAAATAGTGTAGGCGATTCTACATCATTGAGACTTTAAACTTTCTTGATATCTTTGGATTTCACATATGCTGTTTGCAGAGTCGATTTTACGGGGGAAAGAGGTTATATATTTATACTCTATTATACAACTATAACTTAAAAATCACCACCAATGAAAGGTATTTTCAAGTTATAGTTGGTTTTTTTGCCAAATATAGTAGGGTATTTGACACAATTCAGTTGAGTGAATATATATATATTTTTTAATGGAACCAGTAATTAAAGATTTACCCTCTCTCCCTCCTTTTAATTTTGTTTGAAGAATTGCCTCTGGCTGTTTGTGACCAAGTTCTTTATTCATTAAACAACTCAAACACTAGTTATTAATAATATATAATTTAAATTTTTTTTTCATAATTTTTGTGTTTTATTTGCGTTATTTTTATAAAACTTTAAATTTAAATAAATCAAATTTACAATGAAATTCCTTCACTTTTTTTGTATTTTGGAGCAAAATATAAAACCATAGAAAAAATTTCAGAACGATATCTTTTAGGGATCTCAAATTATACTTCTTCTTGTATGGGGTATTGGATAATCTTCACTAATTTAAGCTTTTGTACCCAAAGTTATTAAAATCTAAGTTTGATGAACTCATGATTTTAATAACTTTGGGTTTGGGCATTGTCAAATTAAAAAATAAAACAAAAATTACAATTTGTAGCGCTCCTAATTTTCAACTAGTCACGTTCAAAAAAATAATAACATTGGTATATGGCATATGTGGTAGAAATATATTTCATGTTTTTTCTTATTTTTAAGATTACTTTTTCCACAAAAAAGATTTTAATCTGATTCAAGGATCATTACTGGAAACAATGAATGTTTTACGTAAGGAGATTAGTGTTTCATTTACTGTAAAACCAATAAAATTTACAAAGGTTTGGAAAAATGTCCTTCATTTAACGTTGGGAAATAAATTTTTATTTTATGGTGATACAAACCCAGGTGTTTGGTTTCATGAAGATGGCTCTGGAAGGCTACGTATTCATGCTGCTATAAATGATGATATTCATTATCATTTTGACACTTCTACTCCAATAGATTTAGGCAAATGGTCAAGTATAAAAATATATCAAAATAAATATGATAGTGCTTATTGGTTCTGTGTTGATGTTAATGGAGTAAACATTCATAGAGTGAAAAACTCTGATGCTCGTGACTATAAAAATATGAAAGTGTACGCCTCTGACCCATGGTATGCTGCCCAAGATGGTTTTATATCTAACCTTCTTATCATTAATGGAAATGATGGTAAGTTTTTGTTTCTTTTTTAATGAATTTTTTTTTTTTCAACTGTTTCTTTTATAAATTTTTATCTTTATAAACATAAACTTACTAGTTTTGCGAATGCTTATTAAATCCTATTTTAGATAATATAAAATATTATAATAACTTGCCAACAAACAGATTTGGCTTTAAAAATGCTTGCTTAATTAAACCTTGCCTAAAAAACCCAATAAAAATCAAGCAATTTGTTTTTTATTTAAAATATTTGAAATGTAATCTTAGTTTAGATAATATAAAATGATAACTGCTGTAAAACTGCCGTAAAACTGCCGTAAAACGCCAAATTACAGTAAATTGAAAAATTGTTTTTGAGAGTTTTTTTTTTGAAATCTAACAATTACAGTATCTATGCACGCTTTTATGTAATCTGGGACATAAACTATGTACTATTTTTTAAAGTATTAATAAGATATTATTTTTAAAGTATTAATAACAAAAGACAGTCCTTTTTTATTCTAATTTTATCTTATTACTTTTAGAGCCAGTGCTTTTATTTTTAAAATCTAACGACCCCAATCATAATAAAAATTTCCACAATATTTTTTATAAAAATGATGAGTATAAATTGAAAATATTAATTTTAACTGGGACTAGGCTGGGACTAAATTCTAAAAAATTCAAAATTAGAGTCTTATTTTACAAAAAATAATATAATAATAAAAAAAAACATTTCTTGATTTTTCTAAAATTGACTTTTTAATTGCTTTTTTACTTATTCGTGAAAGAACTTTTTGGTGGCATTCTTTAGCACATAAATTGAATCTTTTCTGCATTTTATTTTTGGTAATAAATTTGCATAGATTTAAATCAGTTTGACAGCTCATTTACAGATTTAAATGACATAACATGCTTAACCAGGTGATACAAATAGTTGTCAGTTTCAAAACTAAGTATGTAATACTGAAAAGTGTGTTACTTTTATATTTTTTATTTTAAAAATTGTTAATAGCCTTCTCTATTTCTAAAACAATAACTTTTTTTAATAAAAAACTGCAAAATAAGTTATGCCCACGTCCCCCAGCTCACCGCTGAATGAGTAAAACAAGGTATAGAAGCTAAAATGTGTTTTACCTAAACATAAAATGCTACATATTTACTGGCACAATAAAATACAGTGCAATATTATAATAAATATTATTTCTTAAATATTGTCAAGCCAATAAGGTTTTGTTTAGATAGATTATGCGATTTAATTTCTGTGATAGCTGTTGTCCTTTAATCTAACTATCTCTCCTATCTTCTTTGAAGACATTTTCACATGCCTAGGTGAGTTTTTTACACATCTTTTGAAGCTTAAGTGTGGCAACACCAGTTTAGTACAATCATTGGTTTAACAAAGTACTCTTTGTTATCTCTCTTTGTCATGCAACAAGTTAATGGTGGTTCAAAAGCTTCATTTCAATTAATAAGATCGTTATAAAAAATTGCTTTAGTTTTTATATCTGGTGTCCTTCTTATTTTAACAGATAGATCTCCTGGTCGTATATTTTTATTATCTTCTCCACTTATTTTAAGAATTTTGTTTACTCTAAAACTTCTCTCGTCTTTTTTCTCAGAACAAAGCATTGAACAGCCTCGGAAAAGGCATACCAGGCAGATCGCTTAATAGTCGGAACGACTTTATTCTGAATATTTAATGACTGGTGTTGAAGCAACTTAAGCTGGTAATATTTTAGTCCTTCTATCCAACTCTGCTTAACTTTGGTGTTAAACCAGACAGGAAAATACACTCCTACAATATACTTTAAAAGTTTCAATAGATATTGGGCTGTATTACCTTGAAGACCATAATGAGAGACCTAAATTCTACAGATGCTATTAGCTGTTGTTAGCCATCTAGCCATGTTAACAGGGGCAATTTTAAGCAGTTCTTGTTGCCGAGGAACATTTAAGCTTTAATTATTTGATAGCCATAACACTGATCAATAGGAAGGTCCTTCACTAAACCATTACTCAAGTTAACAAGAGACTTACCAATTTCAATCTTAGTAAAAAAATGCTTAATTTTAAGATTAATTTTGTTAAGTAAGCTAGCAATATGTCCTTTCCATATTTTATATTCTCCATCTTACAACTTAATCAGATATTTTAACGGTGCATCATTAATGTGTAGAGCACAGACAATCCAATTTAACTTTGCTCTAACTTTAGCTCAATTAAGTGCATTACTCCTCCTTTCCCACCAGTGCTTAGATTAGTAAAGTCTCCACTATGTTAAGTGTGTACTAATTTTTCTCATTTTAGTATACTCAAAGATTTTATCTGCTTTATTTTCAGCGTGTTTCTTTTCTCCTTTTTAGTTGGCGTAAAGTGAAAGAAATACTTCCCATAACCAAAATAAACAATGTAATGTTCTTCTTAATCTTTAGCATAGTATTGTCTGTCTGATCCATTTTTTTTTTTGTCCATCAAAAATTATACAGTTTATAATCAATTTATTGCAGTAATTATTAAACAGATTACAACTTCATTAATATTTTTATACCTAGCTCTTTTAAGTATTGTGTTCAATTATTATACTATTGTTATTTTTGAATACAAATCTTTCATCTAGCCATGTTGCAGTAGTTATTGCTGCAGTTGCTCTTAAACAGGGTAGTCTTTTTGGAAGAATTTTTAAATTTACTAATGTTTAAGAAATCTCCTAAAAAGACCTAAGTTCTCCTAAAATATACTTGAGTTTCAAAAATACTCCTAAAAAATCCAAATTTAGACTTTTTTTCGAACTTTAAGTTTTTTTTGAAGATTCAACTTGAACTTTCAATTTTTTTATTAAAATTCTTGAATAATATTTTGCTTTTGCATAATATTTTGAATAAAACTTCGCTTAAAAAAATTTAAAAATCCACTAAATAATCCAAGTTTTTTTTTTGTTTAACAAAGTTTCAAAATCTCCTAAATTCTCCTAAATTCTTCTTATATTTACTCAAAAAAAGAGTGGTCACCCTTTTAAACTAATACCATTTCTAATAGTGCAGTATTAGAGATATTCATAGATTTTAGATGTTCTAAACATTCTCTACCTGGGTTTTGAATAAAAGTCTCACTTTCATCAAAACCGTTTCTATCAGAACTACTCAAAAGTTTCATGCTCGCTATTTTGTTCATCTTGAGCTTTAGTTTTAAGTGAGTCATGTGTTTTTTTCTCTTATTAACATTTCTTATACTCTATTTTTTTTGGCAATTTTTTACCTTTTTTAATCTTTTTGACTCCATCAAATCAGGCCCAAGTTGATAAGAACTAAGAGTTCCAATTTTTTTTTGTTAAGCTAAAAAAATGTGGCAATAACTTGTTCAGCTCTTGACAAATAATAAATTTTTATTTTTATTTTTAAACTAATCAAGTAGGAAATTAGTTTTAAAATAGTTAATCATTTAGTTAGACCTCACTTACAATATGCATCCACAATTCGAAACCCGTACTGGGAGTATGATAAGGATAAATTAAAGAAAGTCCAATAAAGAGCAACTAGAATCGAAAATTTATGAGGGTATAGCTATGAAAAGAGACTTAAAAAACTAAATCTATTATCGCTCGAAAATAGAAGAAGAAGAGGGGATTTAATTCAAATGTTTAAATATTTTAAAGAATATGACATAATTAATTTTCACCGTCCACCAAAAATCATTGATAATGAAACAAAAAAACAAGGGGTTACAATTTGAAATTAAGAAGGCAATTAACAAGCAACATGAAAAGATTTAACTTCTTTACAAATAGAGTGGTGAATGATTGGAACAATCTTGATCAAAATGCAAAAGATGCAAGTACCATCCATCAATTTAAAAACAGAATAGACAAACATTTTAAATATTAGCGATTGTTTTTTTTAGCTATTTTGTTTTGTTACAGCTGTTACAGTCTCGAACTTTGCGTAGTTTGGATTCAACACTCAAGAAATTGAGTGTACAGCATATTTCCATTCTGTTCTAATAGTTAAGCTAATAATAGGTATGTGAGTAAAAATTTCAAATAGTTAAATATTCTACTGTTATATATTATTAGAAAGAGGAACAATACAGTATTTTAAAGGTGAAAAAATTATCAAAAACGAACAATTGGTTTAAAAGTTATGACAGTTTAAGTACCGATTTTTCGATATATGGAATTGTTGAAGAAACTGTGGTCAAAATTATGTTTTTCTTCACTTAAATTGTCATAACTTTATTAATTCTTATCGAAATACAAATATCTTGGTGTAAAAAGATAGGTGTAAGAGTGAGCTACAAATTTTTGTTAAACTTTAACCACCGGGTATATCGGATAGACAGAGGGGGCACCAAACCACCACCTTACCCGTATGAAACTAAACATTTCTTTCACAAAAAAAGTCTTTTTTCAAGACATAAGTATTTTAAATATACAAAAACATTGTTATAAAATTATATTTAAGAGCATATGAGAGGCATATGTTAACGTTGGAGGTGGGTGTGGTGGTGATGGTTTGATACACCCTAGTATCAAATAAGACTTGTTTTCATAAATATTTTTATCTTTACTAAAATGAATTTAATTAGTATATAATATAAAATTATGTTCTACAAGAATTTACGTGGTGTTACTATTACGAATTTAAGTCGTGTTTACATCGATGTATGGGAGGGGCGAATAACCCCCCCCCCCCAACCTAAAAAAAAAAATAAAAAAAATTAAAATGACACAACAAAGTTTTTTCTGTATAAAAAAGGTTCTATAAATTAATACTGGACAAAAAAGAGGGGCTATTAAAAGAGAGGGGCTATCTCCCCCTTTCCCCCAACTAATCATTTTTTTTTAAAAAAAAGCATTTTTGATTAATTGGAGAATTTTTGGTTAAAATATTCTAATACAGAGTTCTATTATCAGTCAATAGTGGTAAAAAGGTAATCAAAACAAGGTATTTACCAACCATTATAAATCTTCAAATCTTTCATATAGTGCTTGATACTAGTTTGGTTAACGAAAAGTTAGGCTGTTTCAAACTAAAAAACAAAAAAATGTTATTAACGCTAAATAATGTTTGATTATTTTAATGATGCTTTATTTGATAAAGTTTTTTCTTGGCTTTTAGTGAATGATTACAATTTCAAATTCCACTAATGAAATTATTTTATAATTATAGACACAATAGACAATAGACACCACATGAAGGTAAGCCAGAGCCGTCTATCAAAAATGCATAGCAAGTCACAACACTTGCAGAATTTTTTCTTAGCAAGTCACAACACTAGCAGTAATTTTTTTTAGCAAGTCACAACACTAGCAGTACTTTTTTTTTCAACAAGTCACAGCACTTGCAGTTTTTTATTCTATAAATTTCAAATTTATATATTTGCAGTGTTTTAACAAAATAATATCTAGTCAACACTCTGGAAACAATATCTGCAACAAGCTGAAACTTTTTCATGCAATGTTCTACAGCTTTGATATCCATTTTATTAACCAACCTTTAATAATTTTAAAATCTTTCAAATAGTGCTTTGGGTGTTTCAAACTGAAAAACAAATAAAATGTTATTAAAAAGAAATAATAATGGTTTGTTTATTTTTTATCTTATATAGTTTTGTCTTGGCTTTTAGTGAATAATTACAATAATAAATTTTTTTTAGCTAGTCACAACACTGGTAGTATTTTTCAGCAATTCATTTGTAGTACTTTTTTAGCTTAAATTTCAAACTTGTACTTTCATAGTGTTTTATTAATGTAATATAAAATTAATAAAATTGTAACTCTTCTGAAACAACAGTAAGAAATAGTGCAAACTAAGTCATTTTTTCAACTAAATACTTTTTCTACTCTGCCATTATACAAAACAGGCTTGGATGTTTAGGATCATATCATTCATGATATAGTTTTTTGCCTACAATTCTTCTATACATGACATCTTCTAAATAATAAAGTTGGTCATTAGACAAATTTTTGTATGAATCTATAATTTCATCATAACTCAGTTTGAATAGCTAACGCTCTAAGTTTTTTTGCTCTAACTTTTTTCTTTTTCATTGATTTTTTGGCACTTGGATGCCTGTCTTTGGGAAATATTGGCTCTAATTTTAGCCTGATGCAATCGATTGCTAACTCTATTTATACGTGCTACATGAACTGAGCATTTAACAACTTTATTTCTCAAATTAATAATATAGAAGCCTTACCAGCTGCAACAGATGACAAGGATATTTAAGATTAAATAATACAATGACACAAAAGATTAAATGGTACATGTAAATATTACATATTAAATATACATATATAGTAAATATACAATAACATAGTACATATTAAATAGTACAATACTGCATAATACACAAAATTAGACTATACTTCTTAATGCATACACATAAAAATACACATTAATCTCTTACCAAATAATGAAGTGTTGCTAAAGAACTAAAAAGAAATAAATAATAACAATAGTAATATAATGTTTACTAAAATAAACTTAATTTCAAGTTACAATTTTTGTTACAGCATCTTTAGCTAGCGTGTATCAATAAATTAACCACCTTGAGCTTGTGTATCAATGTAGTAATAATCTTTAGTTAGCATGTTTCATTAAAGTACACCATTGAAATTATTAAAATTTACTAAAACTACAAATCTGCTGTCTAAATTCAGCCAACTTTAAATTACTTACCTTATTATAAGATTAAATTATAACACTAACATTACACAAAAAAAAAAAAAAAAAATTAAATGACTAAATAACTAAAATACTTCAAACTTTACTTACTAATAGTTTGTTCTAAATTGTCTATAGAAAAAAAATAACAATGATTCAATAAAAAGCATGAAACAATCAGGAATATATAAATAAACAACTGTAAAAAAACTTTGGGAATGCACAAAAACCTGCACAAAAAACATAGCATAATATAGATATATAATTGAATATTGAGAGTAAAAGACTAAATACTAAAATAAAAAATCGCAAAAAAAAAAACTGACTTAACCTCTCAAAAGTATCATCTAAAAAACAAATGAAAAACTTTTTTTAATAAAATAATAAAAACATTTGTCTAGACGAAATCTATTGATCTTAAGTTAAAAGAAACTAATGAATATTGAATGAATAAAATAACTAACTGATATATATCAGTAAATATATATATATATATATATATATATATATATATATATATATATATATATATATATATATATATATATATATATATATATATATATATATATATATATATATATATATATATGTAGATATATATATATATATATATATATATATATATATATATATATATATATATATATATATATATAAAAGTTGAATAAGGTTGCTAACATATATTAGTTATATATGACAATATTTTATTTATATTATTTATTACAGTTGAAAGATTAACAGTTAATCATTAAAAAAAAAAAGTCTAGTTTTTACCTAGACTTTTTTATAAAAAGATGCATTATACAACAAGTAGTAGCATATTGCAATTGTTATTGGAGAGACTTACAATATAAGATAAAATATGTTATAATATTACTAATATGTCAGTTACATTTTAAAAAAAATTCAACTTTAAAGTAAGGAAACATTAAAATTCATTTAATAACTTTACATTGAAGGCAAATAATTTTTTTAAAATTTTAATAAATAGGAAACAATATTAAAAACTTTTATCAATATCTTTACTTTCCATT